TGTGTGTGTGTGTGTGTGTGTGTGTGTGTGTGTGTGTGTGTGTGTGTAAGTAAATGTCAGTCCTTACATTAATTTCAGACTGATGATTTCTACCTCTTGACTTGTGCTGATTGTTTTCCTTTTCAAAGGGAACAAAACACAATGCCACAAATACAATAAATAACTTTTTCAACAGTGACTCATCGGGATCTTTTATTATTTGTGTATGTTAACAGCTATGCACCTTCATGTAGTAAATAAAATTACACTAGGGTAACAGCTCAGGATAAAAATATGAAATTTGATTGTCCAAATTGAGGAATAATTCTCCGATCCAAAATGGCAAGTTTGAGTGAAACAAATGAAGGCAGTGAATAAAAAAAATCTTTTATTTGAGATAATCTTGGACAAAGACAGAAATATTTTGCTTTCTATTAAAAAATATAATGAAATAATAAGCTGGGATATGAATCGGTCTGTTGTTCCCTTTCACAGACAAAGAGCAAGTCAGGGCGTCTAGATCTAATCTTGAGTTCATGTGTGGTCTTCCACCAGGGGGCAGTCACGCTGAAAGTGAACAACGGGTATAGCAGCAAGCACAAAATGAGGGTGGTCTCACAGAGGAAGCCATGAGGATTAATAAACGTACATGTTTCATGTTCAAAAGCCTCTCCGATGTCCCACTTTTGGTTTTCATAAGCATAATCAGTCACACCTGAAACTTTTATAATCATCTCAAACACTCCAGTCTGTGACCGCGCCTTTAATGAACAATACATTACAAAATAGCAAGAAGTTGAGCTTCATGATGACTCTTTCATCATTTATGGGTTATTTTTATTTTTTAAATGTTTAAATGCATATGAGTTAGTATGAAAACATGCACAAATTTCCAAATTTCTTTTATCTAAATTCAAACTGGTGTGCACCATTACATTACATTTTTCACAACATTCAAATAAACTGATATCAAATTAGAAAAACGTCTATTAGAAGTGAAGTTAAAAAAAATTAAACAAATTCAAATGCTTTGCAAAAATGTCAGTTTCAGATAAACATAAATTAGATAAACATAAATCTGAAGACAGAAAAAATGACAGTTTATATGTTTCATTTCTATTATTTAAAACACCCAATAAACATTAAAGGTGGACATGAAAATACTCGTGGTTTCAGATTCAGATCATTTTGAACGTAATTGAATGAAACGTGCTCAGTGTTCCAGCAAAACCAAATTACTCGTCATGTTATGAAACTAAAACAGTCGTGAAATCTGTCGCTAAGAAGATTCAATTTTTCTTTTACGTTTTGAGAATGTTTTCTGACACAACACTGACTCGCTTTACTTAAAACCAAATTATACTGCCTGTCTTAATACTTTAACATCTGTTCCAGCTCCCCAACAACTTTGGGTGACAAAGATCGACTAGTGCCTCTGCATTTCTATTTAACCTATTTAACTTTAGGTTAAATAACTGGAAGAATGAACAGCTACATTGACTGAATAACAACCAGAGCAGATATAGGCCATGCGCAATAGAATCAAACGAGCTAGTTGACCAAACTTATCAAAAATATAAAAAATGTTAAAAATAAATAAATCCCAGTCGTTACAAATAACTTTGTCAGCACTCAATGCCTCATCTAAGGTTTGCCACCCCCGCTTTTAATCACCTCCCAGCCAATTTAGATTGAATGCGCACGCGTCCACATACACCCGCGTGGGAAATCAGAGGATACTGGACCACCAGATGGCGCATAAAACCCCGTGAAATCCTGCTGCCTGCCTACATGTAGACTGGTGTGTCAGTGAACTGATCCTAGTGGTAAACTTCACAAAAGAAAAAAACACCCTCACTGTTTCACTTGTCTGTGCTGAAGCTGGCGGGTCATCACACACAAAGAAAGTGGTTTATAGGATTAGCCCATGCATGACCTACATTATAATATTATGTTAAAACATCCTATTATAAGTTGGCTTTAGGTGGAAATAACCATCACATGTGGCAATAATCTTATCAACTTATGTCTAGTGAAAGCGGTGAAAAAGATCCTCATTTCTGATTGGCTGACACATTCGAAGACATTATAACGCGCCCGATGAACACACACCTGTGGTTATAAGCATTAACGCTTATAATCACATGTAATAATTTAATAGTTGCGAATGTAGCTTTTTGTATCTATCTATCTATCTATCTATCTATCTATCTATCTATCTATCTATCTATCTATCTATCTATCTATCTATCTATCTCTCTATCTATCTATCTATCTATCTATCTATCTATCTATCTATCTATCTATCTATCTATCTATCTATCTATCTATCTATCTATCATTTTGTCTCTCTCTCAGTGTGAGGTACATTAATAACAGTGAAGTTGACTGCCTTTATCAAACCGATGGATGGCGCTATTTATTCAATCCCACCCCCCACTTCTCAGTTACCAGTCGCTGATCTGGAACCAGCCAAGCTGCGCTATTCAACAAGGATATGAAGCTGAAAGAGTCAACAGCAGACATCAGATCAGTGAGGAAAGTTTGGGGTTCCTGAAGGAGAGGATACATTATAGTAGGCTAATAAAAATGTTGGGGTTTCTTCTGTGTGATCGCTTCACGGGTGATTGGAGTGAATATTTATGGTAATCTTGTAAGGAAAATTAATTTGAGCTTACTGAGTGGTGGGTAGGTCTTTTAAACGGGCTGGGTGGGGGATGTTAAGTATGGATCTTCATCAACAAGAGAAAGAGAGGGAGAGAGGTGGGGATGGTTGGGAGCATGTTGGGGGGAGGTCATAGATGCCGCATGGTTAGAAGAGCAGTGATAAAGCTCAGAAGATCTCGCATACCAACGACGCATCTGCATCTTTTCTACTGGAAGACTTGTTTATGGGGAAACCCCACATTTGCAGCTAAAATGCTAGCACTAATTCAATTTTTAGACCTGGCTTGTGGAGGGTAGATATGAGATTGAGCCGTCAGTGCCTTTGAGCTTGAGCAACCTTTTGTGAGAAGTTGGGAAATGAAGTGAGAGAGCGAGAGAGAGAGAAAGAAAAATCACCTTTGGAGCAGTTCAGAGGATGTTTTTTTCGGATCTGTGCCACAGCCTCAAAGAAATCTGTTGGTTCAGTTTAAAACAAATCAGTCTGTCTCTCACGCTGCTGCAGCTTATGTTACAGAGTCACTATAAAATATTCATCCATGGAAAATCTCTTTGATTCCAGACGGTCACTTGGCTTCATGCGCCATGCAGGTTAAAGTCAGTTGAAACATGTAACTCAAACTAGAGCGTCGGGAGACCTGATGTCCAGCAGGCTGATCTCTACTTCACCCTACATTTGCTCTATCAAAGGAACACCGGGAGAAACGCTTGGTCTGCCTGTGCCATCTCATTCATTCACGGCGAGAGAGGGAGAGAAAAAAGGGAGCATGTCCACTTCCTCCTCTACATCTTTTACAGGTGAGTGCGCTGAATTTTACCAACATTTTCCCCTATTTCCTCCAGCTTAAATCCACCCTCCTCAAGAAAAGCCTTGATTGAGACTGGCTCACCTATGTGCTGACCCCCCCCCCCCCCTCCCACTACCATTCCCTGACCTGAAATGACCGACGTTACCCACCGTGAAGACTTGATGGATTGGTTCTTTAATCAAACGTAATCAAAACCGATTTGACGCTAAAGATCCGCACAAATGCACCCAAAAGATTGCTTATCGTTTTGTTTCAAGGGAAATTACGCATTACACAGTTATTTGTATAGCTACAACTGGAAGTCTTTAAAGGGAACTTTCCTCAATACACGGGGGAAACCGGAAAACAGCAATTAAGCAAACAAGATCCATCATCACAGGATCTCTGTTAACCACTTTAAGCTTTATATTATGATATTTAAGGAGTATTAGCGTTGGTTTAGCAGATCTATCGATTACATTGTGGGTGGATGCTCAGCTTCTCCATTTGTTTGACTAAAACTTCAGAAGGTTCAGTGAATCCAGGAGCAAGAAAAAACAGTCATACTGACCCGCTGAAGCCCCGCAGAACAACACGACAAAATAATCCAAAAATAAATTGGAAGAATGCGATATAGATGCGTGGCCCCATTGTGCGCAGTTTTTGGCGCATCGGCGGTACAAGCGCTTCTTCTCTAACCTCCCCCCTCTCCTCTCGCTCTCTCTGACGTCACTGATATTTCATTCAGATATTTTCACCCTGTTTACTCCCGGTGCAGGAGCCTTGGCCGGATAGTTAGACTACCACTACGTGATTTACCGCCCATAAAGTTTACTTTCGTCGCTTTTCTTTCTCTTCCTCCCTCAGAAGTAAACGGGAAATTCATCTCCTGAGACCAAAAGGTAAAAGAAAAAAAAATATGGCTGTTGGAAGTGTATCAAATTGAAAGTCGCACTAAAATGCCTCCAGTGAACAAATATCCAATCCTAATTTAAATGGAACGGGGTTTTTAAAAAATCGTATTTTACGATTTGAAGCATGAAAAACGAAGGGAACGTTTTTGAGTTGCCCCTGTGGTCAAGTATGAACCACACAATACGCGTGTGCTTTTCTGTGCTGTACGAATGTTTTTTTTCGTTG